GAAGACATATTATTTCAATTACATTTACGAGGAGCAGGACTTACTGAAGAACAGGAACAACAATATTCAAACACAAAGAAAAAAGGTAAAGGTAAAAAAGAAACCGGTAGAACTTATTTAGTTGGACTGGTGGAGAAACTTATAAACAACGGAAAATGGATGACGAAAGTAAATGATGAATTGCTAAGAAAAAGAATGGAAGATTGGAGAGATATTAAAGGCAAAGGCAAAGCAACAAAGGACTAGTTGGAGTGAATACGACAACTAGTTGGAGTGAATACGACATCTAAATCATTTATATAATTTATCAACAATTATATAAAATGATTAACAACCACAAACCCGAGTTAAGGAAACGCCCCACATATGATGAAATGCTTAAACAAGCAATGACAAACAAAATAAAAACAACAGTTATACTGAAGAAATACAAGAAAGATATGTTATTGAATAATTTTGATTTTGATAAAATGGATTTAATGAATTATAAAAATAAAGAAAGATATATGAACGCTCAAGTTATGATGGCAGACAAGGCAACACAAACGCTTAACAAAGAAAACAAGGCAACACAAACAGACCTACCAAATGATAAAGAAACACAAACTTATAATTTTGATGATATGACAAAACTATTAGGTGGGTCTTCAAAGAGTTTCAAAAGTAAAATGATAACCAAGGCTGAAGCAGAAGCAGAAGCATTTACATATGACCCTGATTTATACGATGATGACGATGATGATGATGATGACAAAAAAGATGATGACATTGATAGATATAGAAAGAAATTATTTATGCTGATGAGGATTATAGAATTTATGATGAGTTCAGGTTTTAGTATAGGACAAATAGTAGCACATTTAACATACCACACTACAATAACCACAATTCAAGGTTCAGAGTTATTAGTTAATTTAACAATGAATTCATTAGTAACATCATACGATATAGCAACTGCTATAATGAATTGGTTGAATACAAATGTTAGTGAAGAAGTTGATTTAAACACCTCACCGCCTGTTAGTGTTCATAGTTCTCCTCCTATCACTGTTAATAGTTCTTCAACGCATACTGTTAATTCATCATCATCAGAAGAAAATCCTAATTATGAAATAGCACCTCCTACCGATATGCCTGTACCTACCGGTGTGGATGGGGACGAGTCTGAAAGTGAAAATGATGAAACTGAAAACCAAAATATCAACCCTACAAAAACTAAAACTACTTAAAGAAATGACCCCTTAATATATTAAGGAAAAAATGAATAAGTGTATCAGAGAAGAATTGACAAAAGAAATTGTAAAATGTCGTGGTTGTAAGATATACAACAACAAAGTCAAAAAAGCAAATGACATATTTCCTGACTGTATCATTGATAATATTTTTAGTTTTGTATGTTGTAAAAGATGCACCATTACAAAACATTTAATGAAAAACGAACCTGACAATTTAGAAGAAATGGATAAGTGGATTTGGTATATGACGAGGTTAAATAAATGTCCAACGAAAAAATCATTACGGACAATATTTACAACTGGTTTAGACAAAACATTAAAAGAGTATGGATATGACAATAGACTAATCTTGCATTATGAAACCGCTACTCAATTTCATTATAATTTACTTTTTCATAATAATGATGGTTATGTATCTTGTAAAGATTTTAGCATCTCGATGTGTAGGGATTTTCTTAAAATGTTGAAATGGCAATATATAGAAAACAAAGACAAAGTCGTTTATAAAAACATTTTTGATAATAAGTTTTATCATAAATTCGTCTGTCATTTGTTAGAAAAGAAAAGGTTGATTATAGACTGGTTTAATTATATGGGTACTTATGATTTTAGTGATGATGACTAAGTTTATTAATATTATTATCTTATAATATTATTAAACTACCTTAAAGTCAAATATATATACTTAAAGAAACAAGACCTTAATATAATAAGAGCAATGGAAGGTATGACAGTATTAACCACAGAAAATGTAGAGAAGTTGATGGAGAAAAGACAAAAAGAAAGTGATGAAGTTAAAAGGTTCATTAAGTTAAATCCATATCCATCCTATGAAGAAATGAACAATGTAATTGAAACAATGAAAGAATTGGGTTATCCAGAAAAGCCATTAATACAATGTTATCATCGTGATTTGTTAATGAAGACTTACAATGAATTATATGATGAAGGAAAAGTAATTGAATATGGAGCAGAGTTAAACAATATAGCATTCACAGGTTGTAAAAACATTGAAGATATGAAATTCTTTTTTAGGAGAACCAATTTTCTAATTCTTCAAGCAATCATTCGGTTTAATTATGAGAAGCATAAGAAAAGAAACAAACATATTGGCAAAGAAACAGTATTAAGCTGGTCAAGAAAAATAGAACAGTGGTGGAATGAGATTGGTGAAAACATTGGTATTTATGCTGATTTTAGCAAATGGAAACCGGACAAAGTCCGTTTTACGCCTGACAGGCGGAAACCCTAAGCAATATTACTGGTTTATTCATATTAACAACTTATAATATGATTAAACACATGTATCCCCCAGAAAGCTTAAAAATTGTCTGAAACCCGAACCTTGAAAATGATGAAATCTTAGACTGTTTCATAATGAAAAAATTGTAAAAAAATGTTGAGAAAATTTAGGAAAATTCCCCACAATCCCCCTTGGTGTTTTGGACAAAATGGTTTGCTTGTTGAAAATGAACCCTGCCCCTGAAACCTTGAACTGAAAATACCCTACCCCAGGGCCCCCCTTATAACCATTTTTTTCCCCCCCCCCCCCCGAAAATGGGCGGATTTCCTTGTCTTTTTTGTTGGGTCCCCCCCCCCCCCCCAAAATGGGCGGCTTTTTTGTTAGGGTACCCCCCCCCCCCCGAAAATGGGCGGATTTCCTTGTCTTTTTTGTTAGGGTACCCCCCCCCCCCCCCAAAATGGCGGTTTTTCCTGGTGCGTTTTGTTAATGATGGAGGTGTTCCTTGCGTCTTTTTCTAGGGTATCACCCCAATGACGGTTTTTCTGTTGGTTTCCCTTTAAGCCAGCCAAGACACATGGGTGCCACGGAACCACCTTACAAAGTGGCAATCGTGAGTATATATATATATATCCCCACCAAATTTTGATGTCCACCAAATGGTCCGGCACCCAGTCAAGTTCACAGCTAATGACATCACTCATATGATGTCTTGTTGGTGCTTCATGCTTCGTTTCTCTAGTGTGGTGGCCATTTCTAAACATTTCTGGGCATGTGCTTCCCTTTTTGCTGAGTCAATCGAATGGACCTGTATCAAGATCACAACCACCCTACATGGCACCACATGACTTGCAGCAGAAGAGCCCAAGGTTGCTTTGGGCATTGTGTGTGTGTGTGTGGGACAGGCTGAACTATGGTGCCTTTAGTGAACGAATATAATATTTTGTCCATCTACAGTGGGACCAGGAACTATCATTTGTCGACCAGGTCACAGTCCATGGTCGTTCTTGGCTTTGTGCCGGGGGTCAGCATGGACGCAGCGCAAGCAGAGGACAAGTAATGATCCAGCACACAATACTCGAACGGTTGGTTTGAAGGCGAATCGCTGTGACTTGTTTTTGTTGTCCAAGGCCAAACAAAGACGATCCTTCGCAATACCCTTGTCCAACATCACGTTGTGAAGCTCAGGTCTTGGTGATTGCCATAGCCAGCTTGACTAGTAAGATCTCTAAGCTACATTGGCTAGATCCCCCAGTAGTGCCCTTTTACCCTTTCTTGGGGGGGGGTTCCCCTACTAAAAGTAGACTCAGAAAATTGTTGATACCCTTATTCTAACCTCTCTACTGGAGGACCTAGTTGGGGTTCAGTTGGAAACTTTGGCCCTGGGAATGAGTCGCAACTAGTTGGACCCAATGCCATAGGCAGGGCACTTCAGCCAGCCGGCTGAGGGTCTGTCAAAACCAGTCGGACACCTTTCAAATGCAAGGTGTTTGGGGTTTGCCTTTGAACCGCTCAAAAAAGCGTCCGACTCGAGACTCTTTTGGGTTTTGAACGTTTTGAAACGACCCCCAACAGAAATATGGCACTCACCTGGCCAGTACCTTTGGTGTTCGTCTTCCAGGGTGGTGGGCCTGAGGTGAGCTGCTGATTTTTGGAAAGCTCACCCGATCGGAGTTCAAACGAGCGAAAGTCGTGATGTAGGTCCTTGCTTGGGTATCCCGGATAGCAAGGTTTGGAATTGTTTTGTCGAGTTTGCGGGTAAATTTCGCAGTTCCAACTCCATGTCCCCTGCTGGTTCCTCTTTACACCCTTCCACAGGCTCCCTTTCGAAAAGGCCATGGCAACGGGGTGTACTTCCCGTCAGACGTAGCTCTCACCTTTTGGGCTCGCCTTTTTGGTGTTCCTTCATGTTCCAATGCAACACGATTTTGGGGGCCGAATCCGGTTTCAGGGTTTCTTGCCCGGGGTTCCCATCCACTGACACGTAAATGAGGAAAGTGATCTTCTAGGTCCCCCTAAAGGTTCCATGTTTCTTAAGTGGGGTACAAGGTGCGAAGTCAACAGAAGTAGGGGCCGAACCTTTTCCCCGCCACGTTTTGTAGCATTTGTCTTTGTCCTCTTTTTTGTCATCTTTGGCGGTTTCTGTTTACTGCCTCATGTTTTGGATTCCGACGTGGGCTCCTTTTCCGTCTTAACAACCCTGCTTCATGGGACCACCGAACCTGGTGACCTCATGAACTTGACACATAGGCTTGGCACCACTTGGCGCCAAGTGGCCTTTTTTCTCGCAGGAGTCGGCCCACGGCTTCCTTTCGTTTCTCTTTGAATAAGCAAACGGGGGTTCGAATGTCTCTGATTACTTACAGGCACCATGGTTCCATGTGGCTGTGGGTCAAAAATATGTACCCAACAATTGCTATCCTGGTAAATGGAAGCATGGACCAAAACCTGCGGTCCATATCCTGGTGGTTTAATTTGGACCCATGGTCCATTTTGAGAAACTGGGCAAATCGCGCGCACTGGAGGTGGGGGAGATCAAGTCGGGCAGCTGGGCGCGCCAAATGGGCCGAGACAAAGACTTCGCGCAGGCGTGGCTTGGGCTGGGCTGCTTGGGTTTTGGGGGTTGGAACTGTTGCCTGGACTTTTTAACTGCCCTGTACGATTGGAGATTGCTCATGTTGGGCGATCTCCTCATTTGAGCCAAGCCCTTAAGCCGAGACCAAAATGAAGGGAAGCCAGCATGAGTTGTGGCTTCAAGAGTTGACACAAACAAATCGTTGATGAAACAAGAGCTGGATTCAACCGGTTTGAGCCCTGGAGAAGGGCTGGGTTTTGCCAGGACACGGTGACTTCAAGAGCGGAGGAGGATGCAAGTTTCCGTCGGAAAGAATCTCCCAGCGACACCGGCACCAAGTCTGATGCATTCAGCAAAGCCGGCTCCGGGTGCCGCAAAAGAAAACAGTTGCACCAGCTCCGGCTCTGCTGGCTGCAACATTTCTGAGTGCCACAAATTTCCGCGTGAGGATCTCACCCTCCCCATGGCGCGGCGAGCCTTTCTGCACCCGTGCCACTTGGCATCGCGGCCCCCTTTGGCTCTGCCAGGTGGTGGGCAAAGATACGGGGGGCCAGCACCTCCTCGGCTGGGTGGGCGTGAAGAACGCCCGGCGGCCGAGACGTGGGCCGTCGGAAGACCGTTCGGGGTTCGGGGGGAGAACGTGGCCGTGGGATACCTTAGGGAAACTGAAGGTTGGAACACCCAGTGGTAAGCACCCAAGAAAAAGCCCCTTAAGACTGGTTGGTTTCCTGTAGGTCCCCTCTAAACCACCATCCAAGAGGGTGCCCAATGCTTGGACAGATCCGGCTTTACGCTCACAATCAACCAAAGGTGAGGCTCGATGTGATGGCATTCAGACCCTTCGCTTCAGGAATGCGTGCGAATGAATCGGCTACGTCTTCGGCAAAGCTAACATATGGGTATGGGTCAAAACTTATTCGACCAGGATATGGACCGCAGGATGAGTTGTTTTTCCCCGATTTTTTTGGGGGGAACCCCAAGTCATCCTCTAAAGGCTGCTGATAGGGACAGCGAGGTCCGCTTGAGCCGCGGACATCAGCTTTTCGATCTCATTGGCCGTTTCAGTTTCCCGCGATGAAGCTGGTCACAGGTTGTCCCTTGGGTGTTTTTTGTCGATTGCTAATTACCCTCTCCGTGGCCAAAGATGGGGTATGGGTCAAAATTAAGCCAGGGGACCATAGGTTTTGCTCCATGTTTCCACATACTTGGAGACAAGTACCTCCCTCGCCCCTAAGAAGGCTGCTTCAAAACTGTTCCTGGGGGATGGTTATGGGGAAGCTGGTTTCCTCCCTATGAAACGTGCTCCTACTTATAGGGGGAAGTCATTTGAAGATTGGCCCATGAATCATGGCACCGGTATCTAGGGCTTAAGACCCCTGCCGAAATCGAGCCCAGGTCCGGCGCCGGACTCCGCCAGATGCTGTCGTTGACAGCGACGTCAAAGAAGCAGCAGGCCGGGCGCGTGCCAGCCGTGCGGCTGTGTGCGCCCCCTCGCTGGTACGCCTTCGGCCTGTTTTTGGAAGCGCCACCTTGATATACATGTGTACCAGTTTTTCCGATCGAAAAAAGCGGACCCCCCAAAAGCAGGCAGAGGTCTCGGTTTGGCTCCTTTTCTGAACAACCGAAAGGGGTCTCCCCCGTTATGTGTAGTACGACATGTATCTCTCAAAACGGACCTGGTCTCTACTTACCTCAAAGTGGCAGGCTGAAGGAAAGCGTTTCAGTTTCCAGCTGTCTTTACCGCCCTAGCGACCGTCAGCATCCTGCGCCCGTCCTTTGCTCTCTGTGCCTGAATTTTGGTCCGAAGAGACTTTGAGATCGCCGCTGCATCTGAGGGAGGGCTTTCAGGAGGGCCTGGCTGTGTCAATGGCTTCTTGCCGCAGGCGCTGTGGATGAGCATGAAATGCTGGAGGGGCACACAGAGCAAAGACGCACACATGATTCGTTTCCCATCAAGGTTCCACTCTGGGTCATGATCCAACCGCACTTAAACCTCGTGCTTCCCCTTTTGGAGTATCATGGGTTTCAGGCGATGTTCCTGGTAGCCAACAGTTCTGACATTCTTTCCCACCCGGCAAATACTGGGACACTGCGGTGTAGCGCATCGGAAGAACGCACAAATTTGGCCCGTAGACATGGCTTGGAATCTTTGTCAGCTAAGCTCTATCCAGGATTTGCTGAGACTTTCAGCAGCCAGCGTTAGTTGTTTGAATCTATCAGTGCACAACACAGAACCTGGATCCATCATACACACACACACAGCAGGCGTATTCGACAGGCTAAATATGGAAGGTCGCTGTTCAAACAGGGATTGCCTTGTGTTTGTTTGTGCTTTCTGTAAAAAGTAAAGCGACCTTCGCAAGGTGGATTTCCACTTTTATGTAGTGCCTTGATTTTTCCAACTGGTCAACAGCCAAGCCCTGGTTGATTCTTTCGAGCCTCGTTCCGGACATGGGCCGGGTTTTTGGAGCGAGTCGATTTGAGGATGTGACTTCGTGGTGGAGGACAACGATCCCGGGCCAGTTGTCCCCACCAGGAGCCGAGGGATTCCGAATCAACGAGGATGAGCTATTCGTTTTGAAGAGAATGGCGACCTTGTGAAACCGGCCACACTCTGCAAATGTCATGCATGTCATATTTTGGGGATTACCATGGCGACAAACCTGGAGGACTGCAATGAAGAAACAACACGGAAATGCGATATGCGTGTTTGCTATAAGAACCACCAGCTGTATCTATCAAGCACTCTGCACAAGTATGGTGAAAGGGCAGTGCAGATACGCGCAAATGCATAGGCCGCTCCCCGGTGCCTCCTTTTTCCAGACGAAAGCTGGGCTCTGTGGCGAAATGATGGCGAGCCGATAGCGACCGACAACGCACCCGCGAAATGATAACCGTGCAACGGCACTTTTTTTGGCTCCAAGACGCGAGAACCATCAGCTCGAGCTGATTGGAGGGGGGGGGTAGGGAGGTTGGGGGGGGTCGGTCTCAAACAATCAAACAATTGCATGGTGCCTTCTCTCGGCCCTTTGCCAAGCATCGGGCTCTGGCACGCAACAAATGTTGCCCCGAGACCCGCAGCACCAGCCCGATGCACTGAGGCGGATCCCGCACCAATCTTCCTCGCAAAATCCATTTGGGGTGGGTCTTTGTTTAGGAGACCCCGAAATTGTGGTTTTCCGCTCCCGGAGACTCAGATTCGCACTCTCGCGAGGCACTCGCAGGGCCATCTTCACTCGATTCGCACTCCCAAGAAGCGGTTTTGGAAGCCCAAAGCATCCCCATTTCCCAGCATTTTGGTTGGGGAAACTTCTGTTTTCAAAGCATCGTGGCAAGCGGCTGAGAAACATGTAAGTTCTACTAGACACACCACAATACTGGTTTTGTGGCAAGCCCCCTTGCATACCTCTTGTGTCACCGGCCCGAATGTTGGTGGGAGGACCCCGACTGTTTCCCAGAAGTTCAGTGAAGTGCAGAAGCTGGAATCCCTACTTCTTGCTCCCAAATGAGCTTTCGATCTCCACTCATCCCCATGTCAACCACTCCCTACTACTCCCCGCAAACTACGCATATGTCAATGCGTCCCAAGTTGTGTTTACTGGAAGACTGCTCCAGTTAAGTTCTCATAGGGGTTCTGAGACCAGGCAGCCTTAGGAAGAACAACGCATGCATTTGCGGTCCTTCAACAGATGATCGAAGGCCCTAGCAGCGGGCGATGCACGCACTTAACCACTGATGTATGCTACACAACAAGCGCGGGACTAACAGAATTTAGGGTTTGCACAGTACGCAAAACGGAACGTTTGGGCCAACCACGATGAGAAAGCAGAAATGCATCGAAATTAGGTCTCGTTGTTTGGCCCCGACCTCTGGTTGCATTTTCTTTTTAGAAGGGCTTGGTTTCATCTACCTTCCTGTATGGACGCTTAGGGTGGGTTGCAACCGGCTTCTCTTGCGGGTAACTATGGGCGTGTCTCTTTTTCAAGGCACCCTTTTTGGGGTGGGTTCAAGCGGGGGACCAACAGGACCCCACCTATTGTGGAGGCCCAAGACAAACCCATCGTGTTTTTTGTTGGTGTCTCGGCTGCAACCCTGTTCACGGCCCCTGGCCGGTAGGAGCGCTTTGCCCAAGCCGGCACGGGGTGTGGAGGCCAAGGATGGATTCCCGGTCGAAACATTCCCTCACCTTGCTGGCTTTAGAAAGGTAAGCCAAAGGCTCGCTCCCTGAGGTGCTGGACTTGGCATACTTTGTGTTTTTTTGCCCGTTTTGGTGGCATACAACAAGTATCGACTGTTTTTGGCCAATCCACTCAGGAAGTGAGGGGGGAAGTTGGGGTTCCGTTTGGAGACTCGCCCCAGTCAGCTTCAAAGCAGCTAGCTCAAGACAGCCGTTTTGTGTGCGCCTCCATTCGAGCCTACCATGGACAAAATCCATTTCGCACCCTGGAAGAGGCGGTGTATCCCAGTATTTGTAGGGTTAGCATTCCAGGTGCAGGATGCTGTCCACAGCAAGTTCCGGAGCCCAAACCCTGGAGGGGTCTCGGCTTTCCCTGGAGCTCTCGGACTTTCTGAGCAGGGAAGGCGCTTGGCCTCATGATTTTCCCTTTGTCAAAGTCACCCCTAAAGTGATGGGATGAAGGAAACAACCCCAGTTTCTGACTTTGATGACCCCAGAACCAGTCAAACCAATCAAGCCAATGACCCCAGGCCGCAGTTCCTTAGGCTTCGTCAGCTCTTTGGCCAATAGGACGAGCCAGTTTTGGGATGCGACACCAGAAATCAACCCTGGACATCAAGAAACCCATGTGCTGATCAGGCAGCGACAATGCGCCCACCTGAAATACTCCTCGCTTCTCCAGTATGACGCAGCCCCTTCCTTCAAAAAGTATCGTGCAGCAGCACACCATGCAGCAAACCAGCGCTCCCTGCTCCCTGGGTCATCTCGAGCTAAGTGGGAATTCGGGGCGAATGTGTACTTGTTGTTCAGGTGAATTGCCATTGTCGGAAGAATATGTCCTTGCATTTTGCGATCCCTTCCACTTGGAACACGTGTTGTTCTGTGCGAATTTCGCCTACCAGGCGATGCATCCGTAAACTCGACTCACCTTCCAAGGCTCCTCGCGGCGGTCGCTGACTGCAAGGGGCCCAGCTGAAGTTCGTTTGGAGGGCTTCTGAAGCCAACTTGGGAGGGAGATGACGTCAACCACAAAAACCGGGGGACGAGCGCGACATGTTTGCGGGGAATCAAGTCTTTTGAGCGTGGCTCATGGCTTGCTTGGGTTGGTAGGGATGGTCATGGAATTTTTAGTTAGTGGGGCATTTTCGACATTGATTCCCACAAAGGAGAAATGTGAGAATGGCCCACAGAAAGAGTCTTGACCGTGGCACGTTTCGGTTCTCCAAGTGGGGGAGCCCCAAAAATGCGTGGTCAGAGAACGAGTGTTACTCCTGATTTTCTTACCAAGCCAACAAAAAAGGGGTTCCTCAACAAGACCCAGCCTTTTGGGAGTTCCGAATTCAGTGTTTCCCAACTGGGACCTTTGTGCGAGCAAAACGACCAGGCATTTGAGAGAGATTTCATCCCCAGGGCCAGGGCTGCGTTTTTTGTGCCCGTTTTATGGTTGGTTTAAGAGCCAAGAGGAGCGTGAATGCAGCTCTTTGTAGTTGCAGTTCATGCGGGCAGGCCTGTCGCAGCAAATGTGGTCAGCCTTCAACATGCGCAGACAGGGTGATCCGCCCTTTGCTCCCTTTGAACATGCAGTGTGCTAAGCATTGTGTTGCCAGAAGATCCTTACCTGAGCTCAATGCATGGCGGTGGCACTACCCTCTTCTCAAATTCCGGGGCGAAGTATAGTGACCCAGGGGACAAAGCGACACCGCCAAAGAAGGCTCTTGCTTTGAGGTCTCTTCTGTCAAGTCGCTGAGTAATTGAATTCATCCCCAAACCTTTGTCTCGAAAACTGTGAAAACCCACCAAACAAGAAATACTAACCCACAAACATGGTTTCCCAGTGGTTTCCCTGTAAGACAGCTTCCCCTCAAAGGCACCACTCGGCGCCCGCAGTCACCTCCGCCTCTTCATCGCCCCTTGTGAGCACGGCATTCGCTCGCCGGAGGCGTGCGCCTGGCGAGCAAGACACGGTGTCCAGCCATGGAGTAAAGGGAAACAGCTTCACAACCATAGTGTGGATGGACGAAATCCTGCACCACCTAAGAAGCCCTGAAAAGATGATTCCCCTGTAAATACCAACAAACCATGGCTTCCCATGGATTCAAAGTGGTGCAGGGTTTCGTCCACCCACAGTATGTCGCATAAGTTGAAAACAGATGAAACCAGCTGCCATTTAGTTTCTCAAAGGATGCCTAGGCAAGCAGTTTTACAACACGTGTCATGGTCTCCATTCAAACCCTCACTTTGCATATGCAATGTTGAGGATCTCCTTTGAATCAGGACTAGGAGTCTTGGCAAGCCTTGCTCACTTAGTCAAGCCTTCAACTAGTCAATTTCAGCTTCCCCCCAAATTGGTGGTTTGCATTGGTGGTTGGTCTGGACAAGATCCAGGAGTTCCAATCCCCAAACCACCAATCCAAACCAACCAAGGGCTACCTGACAATTCGTGGCGAACTGTGAGCTGGGTGTTTTCAGAGTGTCTCACCCTGCGCTCCCAGCACAAAACTTTTCCGAGTCGCCACTGCGCGGCGGTTTCTCACGCGCCATGGTTAAAAGAAGTGGCTGGGGATGGACAGGTGTGGTCAACAGACGGGGGCGGGGGTTTAGATGTATACACACGGGTCCAAACTCCAGCCATGTTTGGTTGGGGGATGTTGTTTTTGCAGGGAACCCTTTCAGGTTGGTTTACAGATGTTTCAAGGGCAACCAAAAAGAAGCCGCCCTTTTGGATCATTTTGGACGGTCCGCTTATTTTGACACATACCTGTTACAAATCCAACGGTTGGCACAATATGAGGATGGAACATGTGCTTTTCTGTGTCTCGACACAAAACAGGCATGTACACGTGACAGGCAGGTTCTAATAACAATGGTGGACATTTCAGAAGGATCCCACAGTTCTGGGGGGGCATACATGGCATACAATGAATTTGGAAACAAATTCACCTGCACACCTGTGAAGAGACACCGAGAGACTTACTCCACGGGGCAAGGCCAAGAATCTGAAGAACTGTCCAAGTGTCTTGTTGGGGACCCAAAGCTCCAAAGTCGTGGTTTTCCTCCAAACCCCGAAAATAATAAGAACAGGTATCCTCGGTCTTTCCCACGCATGTCCACTTCAGAGGAAGGTGTGTGGCCTTGAGCTTTGGAGTTCTCGTGCACCAACTAGTTCTGGGCGTGGCAAGGGCTCGACTTCGTAGCTTGTTGATCCCCGCCGTTATAAGGGAGGGAGTCGTTTCAGCGTATGTTTGAGAGCGCGGACCGCAACATTTCCTCTCAGGTGAGAATCCCGTTTAAGTCGCCGCTAGCGCGAGACGATCAGAGCACCCCACGTGTTGCCCTCCACGCATGCAAAGCGCGAAGGGCATGCGACAGCAAGAAGTTGGAAGTCGAAGTCCGGTCAGATTCGGCAGCCAGTCACTTGACACGAGCCTTGCGACTTGCGACTTGGACGATGTGCTGAAACTGAGGGCCGGGGGCCAAAGCCGGGTGGAGTTGGGTGTGGTTCTTGGCGGTTTTTTGCAGCTCGGTACCTTGGGATTGAATGGAAGAGGAAGCCACCCGTTTGTGGTTCCGCCACTTTTGGTGTCGGAGAGGGTCGCGCGTCTTGGGAAGTCAAGCCTGGGTTGGACGGGGAGACTCAAGCGAGATGAGATGCTTGCACGCGTGGATTGGTCACATCAAGACATGTTTCCGCTGACGGCCTTCGCATTTATAGGTATCGTTTTCGTTTTTTGAGGAAACCCTTGTTCTCAGGTGATTTACAGGGAGATTCGCCATTTGTGTGGTCCCTTATTTTAGGGCACACCCGGTTTCTTGCGTTGAAAAACCCCTAGGAAGCTCGATCTTCCGCGAACCATTCTGATTTGAAGGGGTGTTCCTCAGGTTGGTTCAAATGGAAGCCGAAAACCGAAAGACTGGAATACCACTCGCTTCAAGTATTCATTCACCTATATTAGCAGGTAAGGCACAGTTTTCGGAGCAACGGTGAGTTTTCGTTTGGGGTGATATCGGCGGGTTGGATCTGGTGATATGATTTCTGGGGGCTGTACTGGATTTCAAAATCGGATGTGGGGCCGACGTCGACTTGTCAGCTTTCCAAGCCAGAACTTACTTGTCTCTGATTTGCGGGAGCAATCAGTGCTGTCCACAGCTCCGACATGTCAAGGCAACGCTTGCTCCATTTGGACATCGCTAAAGTGCATTGACTCTTTCAATGGGGGATCCTCATGCAATTACCACGATGTGTGCAACCGCCCAAGCTTGTGTTCACCCCGAGCCAAGCTTGCATCGCACCAGGGATTGGCAAGAGGGGTGTCTTTTGCTGATGACAAGGGACATGTGCCTCACAAATGCAGGTACATCGGTTTCTGGGCCGATGGCCATGCCGTTTACAAGCCGGACGCCCAAACCGAAGTCCTAGGGGCCCGTGCCCAAGAGGGTTCACGAGTTGCTCAGGTTCACAACCCGAGGTGCGGATGATGGAGGACCACGTTTCAAGCAGGGCCTTGTGCCGAGCTGATTTTTTTTTGGGGGGATGGTTCCTTTTGGGGGTGCCCATTGTTTTGTTCTTTAAACTGTAAGCCGTAGGGAAACCCTACGCCTTGGTGATTGCATGCGCGACGTGTTGGGTACTTCTGAACAGCGGCCTGCGAGGTATCAAAGAAGGTTTCCGGACAGCCGAGTGTTCATGTCTTCCTGTACTTGTAGCCCGTGTTTTGATCACACAGCCGAATCGGGAAAGCACATATGCCTGAGTGCCGCATCTTGAGCGCAGCTTTGTTCAAAGCGGTTGTCTGATCATGCTGTACACTTCAGTTGATCTGCGTGGTTGCAACGTGGTAATTAGGGGCAACGCAAGGCTCAGCATCTGGGAATTGCCGCGAAGGATCTTCTATCTTCATTATACATGTATATATATATATATATAGATTTATAGTATCAACGTGGCACTTCCAGAATTCGAAAAGCTATGGGCGCTTTTTCCTTTTTTTCTTCTTCTGTCCGTCATGTATTGTGCTGCTTATTTCTGGCTGACGGTTGCCATCAACTTGTTTGTTTCGAATGTGATCCAGAATGATTGAATGGACGGACTACAAAAGCACCCTATAGACAAGGTTGCAAGGTTGTCCAAGCCATATGTTTGCTTCATTTTGTCGGTCAAACTGGCATGTCTTTGGCCGGGGGTTTGTATTTTCTCCGCAGGAAACATCACTTGAAATGATGGATGGTGGCTACATTCACTTCGCTTTGTTCGGTACAGATGACAAATCCACAGGCCAGAGCTCAAGGTACCCGCTGTATCTTCTGTACTTCTGATGTTTCTGTTGGTGGCACCAATTTTCCAAATGTGTGCTTCGATTCGGCTTCCCAGTCCCAAAAAGGGTACAAAAGCATCGCACCCTCATGTTGCTTTGTTCTGATCGAGCAGTTCCCCCTGCGAGCCCTCTAGTCTCAATCGCCTGAGCCATCCTTTTCCTGGTACCGGTTGTGAGCTTAGTTTTGTTTGATAAGATCTACGCATGGACAAGAATCTGCAAGCGTCAGTGAAAAATCCTCGTGCAATAGGACCAGAATCTAAACATGTTGGTTTGGCTTGTGCAAAAGCTAAGCTAGGAATGCGGGGCATCTCCAGAGAACCCTCAGAAAAGATACAGGTTCTTTCCGGATGAAACCCATCCCAAACCCTTCAGAACTGATGGCCTTTGCCGTTTGTTTTCCTCCCACTCACACACCAAATTCCAGCCATGTTTGCCCCTCTCTGTTTCTTGGGCATGACTTTTCAGGGCAGCCTTAGTTGGTGGCTTGGATTGGTGGTTTGACTTGACCCCAAACCTCCCCGGAACGCCGCTAAGCCGCCAATCCAAACCGCCTGAAAGGGGCGAGCGGGTACTTGGTAAGTGGGGTAACAACCGGGTAATTCACCACTTTGGAGACTTACCATGGCTTTTGTGGGTAACAACCATGGTTATGACCCACTTACCATGGTTGTAAGTCTCCTAAGTGGTTTATATCCATGGCTACTACCCACTTAGCTGACGTACCGAATCGATCGCCCCTTCAGGGAAAAAGCTGCACTTGTGGGCCCCAAATCGCGTCGAACCGAACGGGGCCAGGACGCGCGGGTGCATGGCTTCCGCTGGCCTCTGCACCCGCTGCAGGCGAGAGCGAGAGAGAGTACGCGTCTGGCTGTCTTGGGCCAAAGTGAGGTGGCTGGTCAAAACCAATGGGATCCCATTTTGGTTGGTAGGTGAATTCACCACCCATTTTAGGTCTCCTGTTTGAGTGGGGATTGGGATGTTCACTTCTTATGACACCTGGTGGTGTCCACAGTGGGCCTATAAAGGCGATGTCCGAAGTGAGGCTATCAAGGTGATGTTTAAAATGGGCATGTAAAGGTGATGTCTAAAATGTGACGTCTAAAGAGGGCATATAAAGGTGAGGCTAAAGTGGGCATACAAGTGATCATAAGGAACCCTGCGAGAAAGATCGACACACTTGAATTTAGATTGGGTACAGAACATACACAGATTGGGGATTCGGTTGGTTCTGTTTCCAGGGAAGAAGGTCTGACGCGGTTGTGTCTCTTCAACCTAGCACTTCTGGGTGACTTTGGCAATGGGAAGACAACGAGGCCACGTTGCAGCGGCGTCCCTTTGTTGGTCTGCTTGTCTGCCGTTGGATGGTATGTTCACCGGCTTTTTGGAAGACTGTTGTTTTTCCCGCCAAACAGCAAACCGCTGCAGTTTTTGCGCCGAACGAGTAACCACAACAGGAGGTAGTGTTTTTTTTATATATATTATTATTTTTTTACTAGGTCTGGTTTTTTTATTAGGTCTGGTGATGGGTTGGTTGGTTGGTTGGTTGGTTGGTTGGTTGGTTGGTTGGTTGGTTGGTTGGTTGGTTGGTTGGTTGGTTGGTTGGTTGGTTGGTTGGTTGGTTGGTTGGTTGGTTGGTTGGTTGGGCCGCATCCCCGGCATCACCAGCATCACTTGGACCTGGGGTTGCCCATTGGCTCCAATTGGGGGGCAGTTGGGAGTTGCTGGGGGCTGGTTTATGTTAGGGGGGTGTTGGCTGGCTTAGATCTTCATGAGGGTTCTTGGGGTGCTTTGGGGTTGGGCTGATATTCAGGCTGCTGTTGGGCGGGTTTAGGGTTGACTTTGAGTGGGTTTGGGGTGGCTTGGAGCTGATTTGTGCTAGGTGCGCTGCTGGTTTAGCAGCGGCTTCAGAGTTGCTTTAGGGTGTGGTTAAGAGAGTTTTGGTCGAGTTTTCAACCCCAAAGCACCCAAGAACCCTCATGAAGATCTTATCCAGCCAAAACCCCCCTAACTTAAACCAACTCCCAACTGCCCCCCATCGGAGCCAATAGGCAACCCCAGGTCCAAGTGATGCTGGTGATGCCGGGGGTGTTGGCAGCTTTGCGATAAACCGGACCTAGTAAAACAAAAAACACCTTTACCACCGCAACACAGCTTGTTAGCCGTTGTAGCATTCAATCCTATTGATTACTCAAGGGTGCAGATTCGCTCTGATTTGCTGTTGATTTCCTCCCGGAACCATTGTAATTTTTGGATCCAAACCAGGCACAGTGAGCCGTTTGGCTCCTCTAGACAGAGCCCTGCGCGCAGTGAGCATGTGACAACTGCCATCTATGTACCTTAAAACCAGCTCAGGCGACAGGACCATCCTTTGGCTGCCAACTCTGCTTGGCATTTGCACCTTCCTGCGGTGGTGATTAGACCCGCCAGGGCGCTTTGCATGGACTTGTCTGCTTCGGGCTAAACAGATAGGAATGGTTTGGGGTTGATGTGGAGGCACCCACCAGTTGAGTCTGGACCATTCCGAGCGAGAAGCTCGCTTCAGGTCGACGAATAGCCTAAGCTGTGAGGCATCAAGTGTGTGCCCCATGTGCGATTGCCTCCACACATCGCCTCCAAACATGCCCGCAGAATAGGAAGCATCAAACTAATGTGATCAAGGCAGAACAAGTGGCAGTGTTAATTGAGGATATTATCTACAGTCGATCACGCAGGACATCTCAATTCTTGTAGCGTTCCCTCCCAAGCTAATCTGGAAACACATTGTGCCATCTTTGCAAGTCCACTGCAGAACGATCCGATGTTTCACCATGAAGGCTCCTGTGCCCCAATCCATGTTGGAGGCATCTCAACACGCGCAGGTGGTTAGCTGGGTGGTCTTTGGCACCGACGTCGTCGTGTGGCCTGGCAGCGAAAGGTGTTTTTTTCCCGGACCGAGACGATTCCAGCCGACTGCGCGACAGGCCTCGACTGATTGCGACGCCGAGCAAATGGCTTGAGGACATGGAGTCATATTAACACAAAGAACGTGGAGGCTGCTCACCACCAGCATTGGGGCAATTGGAGATCTCCGTTTACGTCAACATATGAATGGCGCGCGCACCTCCCCTCCCAGCAAAGACCTCCACAAGACGTTTCGAGCGATAGGGACCTGACCCGCCCCTTGGAGGGAGGGGCAGGCCCTGGTCGAAACTGCAAGCTCTTTCTGGGTGGCTGGCCGAAGATGCAAACCTGGGTGGGCCCTTCTCTTTGGGAGGAATCTCCATGTGGGTGTGGGTCAAAATTAAAGCACAAGGGGACCGCAGATTTTAGCCCTTGTTTGCCAAGGCTCCAAAATCAAAATGGGTACCCATATGCGGCAGGTGGATGAATCTGATGTCTATTAACGCGTTGCAATCTGGGGCCTGAGGTGTGGATGTGTTTGAAGGCCATAGCACGGCCAGCACATCGTTTAGTCGGACGAGTGAGCTGAGTTCTGGCCCAAGCGTTTTTCAATGAAATCCTTTACCTTGGCATTGGTTTTTGTGGATGCGTCCGGATGCTTTCGTTTCCATTTGGCTGTGAGTCAAAACCGTTTTGGGATCCCATTTGGTTGGTAGGTGAACTCACCACCCATGTTAGAACCTATTTTAGTGGTGTTCACACCTATTTGAGTGGGGATTGAATCGGATGTTCACTGGGGGTACGATTTGGATTTTGACAACCACAGCCATTTTCGCCTTCCGCTGCCTCATCTGGGCACTTGCGCCGCCATGTTCGCAGCTTGCCTCGGAGCCATCTGGGGTCCGCCTTTGTTTGTTGAGGGGTTCCCTTTTGGGTGGTTGTAAAGGGAAGCCAACAGGAAACCAAGCATTTTTGAGGGTGCCCTATTTTTAGACAAACCCGTTTTTACCTTTTTCTGGGTGGGTCGTCCAATTTGAACTCATCAAGAAGCGTTGTCCTCTTCTTCCCAGCGCTGGAGATCTGTTTTCAAGACACCACGCTTGCCAAGCTTCTAAGGGTTGCTTCCCCATTCTTTCCAGCACCCAGGTACTTGGTGTTATGTATTCCGATGATCGAGACGCTGGCAGCGCAGGCACGGAGGGCCTGGGGATTGAGCTATTGTATATGGGTATGGGCCATCATTAAACCAACAGAGGACCGCAGGTTTTTAGTCCATGTTCTCATTTGCCAGGGTTCCATTTTGGGTACCTATTTTTGACCCACAGCCATATCAGGGGGAAACGCAGAAAGCCGCGTCTTGGCGTGCGTCTCTCCTGAGTTCCTGGGGCCATGTTAGCCAACAGCTTGGACTGTTTTTGGCCAAGGCACTAAGGAAGTGAGGCACTCAAGGACAGTTTCTGACATGTTCCTCCAACATGAAGTCTTGCAATCTGGCAAGATGGTGCTGCAGTACGGCCCAGTGACAGGTCCAGATGCCTGTGGTTGCAACCTGCAACAAGCCTAGCCTTTCGCCGGCCCTCACGTTCCGGATTCCTGGACTTGCAACTTTTTGGCAAAGAGCATCTCAGCGGTAAACAAAAAGTTCAGACTTTTTCCGGCCAATCGGCCAACCCACTCGATCGGACGTGCGCGCGAAGGTGGTGGTGTCGGTGTTCTTTGTGCTCAGCGTGGGATCGCTGGTGGTGTCCACCTTTCTGGCCACCAAGTGCAATCCCATGGATCCCTATGTGCTGAGAGACGCCGGGGCCCCCAGGGCCCCCAGGGCCAGGGCTCGGGGGAACAGGTTTCTCAGGGGGCAAGGAAGTGGACATCTGAGGGACTTGCGCCCAGTGCACATACGCCAGATGGCAGCTGCTTTTGGAAGACAGGGCGTTGGCAAAATCATGGGATATGTGTAAACGTAATGTGCTTTTGGTTGGTTGGTTGGTTCGTTCGTTCGTTCGTTCGTTCGTTCGTTCGTTCGGTTGTTGTTTGGTTGGTTGGTTGGTTGGTCGGTCGGTCGGTTGGTTGGTTTGTTCCTTGCTTCGTTGGTTGGTTGGTTCGTTGCTTTGTTGCTTCGTTGGTGCGCTGGTTCGTTGCTTCGTTGCTTCGTTTCTTCGATGGTTTGTTGGTTCGTTGATTCGTTGGTTCGTTGGTTGGTTGGTTCGTTCGTTTGTTCCTTAGTTCCTTGGTTTCTTGGTTCTATGGTTCGTTGGTTCGTTGGTTTGTTGGTTCCTTGGTTTCTTGGTTTCTTGGTTTCTTGGTTCCTTGATTTCTTGGTTGCTTAGCTCTTTGGTTCGTTGGGTCGGTGGGTCGGTGGTTTGCTGGTTTGTTTGTTGGTTGGTTGGTTGGTTGGTTAGTTAGTTAGTTAGTTAGTTAGTTATTGTTTGTTTGTTTGCTTGTTTGCTTGTTTGTCAGTCAGTCAGTCAGCCAGCCAGCCAGCCACTCACTCACTCACTCACTCACTCACTCACTCACTCACTCACTCACTCACTCACTCACTCACTCACTCACTCACTCACTCACTCACTCACTCACTCACTCACTCACTCACTCACTCACTCACTCACTCACTCACTCACTCACTCACTCACTCACTCACTCACTCACTCACTTGAGTTGAGTTGAGTTGAGTTGAGTTGAGTTGAGTTGAGTTGAGTTGAGTTGAGTTGAGTTGAGTGAGTGAGTGAGTGAGCGAGTTTGTTTGTTTGTTTGTTTGTTTGTTTGTTTGTTTGTTTGTTTTGTTTGTTTTGTTTTTGCGGGGTAACAACGGTGCATGGCGAGAAGGGCTGACGGTCAATATCGCGTTGCCCCTCTTTTAAGGCAGCTTGGCAGTCGGGAGTGACCAGAACTCCTGGTAGTTGCCTTGCAAGGTGTGAACTCTTTTGCGACGGGTGCTTCAATGCTAAGGGTCCCCTTTGTGCGTCGACCCAACAATCCAAGCGGTCCCCTAGGACACACACTCACCCGCATGCCACTGCGGGTGTCCACTTTCTAGCGGGTTCCTGATTTGAGAACAACCCCATGCGCAGCGAGCACTCACCAGCCCCTCTTTCAGAAGTGCAATGGGTGATCCAATGTTTCATGCCCGGTTCTTGAACCATGCCACGCCCCAGCTGGCGGAACCGGTGGTGTTGTTGTTTGACATTGCACTAGCTTTATTCTGGATTTACTCATTTGGACTCTCCACCAAGCAGGTGAGCGAGCATGTGTTGATTCCTAAACAAAAACACTTGACTCAGGTTCCATCCGGCTCCATTTTTTCCCCAGAGGGAACTCACACCTTTCGAATTGACCTTCTCGCTGTTTTTGTGTTGGATTCCCGCCCGCTGTCGGGCGAGAATTCACAAGGACACACCGTGGCCCCGAGAATGTGACTTCAACATACGGGAATTCAACAAAAGACCACCGGAGCCCGGCTGGCAAGTACTTTCTGGGTGCATTTTAGTGGGAAAGATGAACAACTTCTGGATGTTGTTTTGTTTTTCCGGTGTTGATCTGTAGTGTTTTCTTTTCAGTTGTCCCGACGCGACGGCGAAAGTTTCGGTCTCTGGCCCCAGGATTCAGAGCTCAAGGAGGAGGACGAAGCGAGTGACATGGGCGCGGACGGCCTTTGTATTCGCTATTTGGGTTTGTGGGTCAAAATTAAACCACTAGGGGACCGCACGTTTTAGTCCATGTTTCCACTTTCCAGGGTTCCATTTTGGGGTTACTCTATTTTTGACCCACAGCCTTTTGGGTTTGTGGTTAAGGGGATGTGCCGAACACGTGCTTCGGATTGTTGGGGGAATTCCCTTTGCAACAACATGCGAAAGGGTGGCAGCTCCAAACAACAGGCACATCAAACCATTGTCTCGCCTTGTAAGCAGGGGCCTTCTTCAAAGGGCCAAGCACGAGCAGGTACCCTCAACATGTCAGGTACTGCAAGAGATACAGGGACAGCAGCATGGGTATGAATCTTGCTCAGGGACGTTTTTGGTAAACATCACCTCCCTGGTATTCATGTCCTGCCTTCCATTTTTGAGGGTGTTCCAAGCACGTAGCATCACTTGTGGACTTGTTGGACTGCAGGGTTTCCGCTCACAAGTAACCGGCCACTTGACCCCCTTTCTGGAGACCGGGCTGCTAGGAGCATCACCAGGCCTTGGCCTCCTAGGTCCAAATTTGTTTGGTTTTGGGGGGGAGGTGGGTCCAGCAAAGGGGTGGAGATGGGGGAGTGTAGGGCGCTCCCTCGCAGGCTGACGCTGACAGAAGCGTCGTGGGGACGAGCCATGAGCCGAATCTAAGTAGTGAACCCCGTGTGAGACGGTGTTCTCTGGAAAACGAAGGGACACCAATCATCAGGTAAACCTTAGTTGGTGCTTTGGATTGGTGGTTTGGGGATTTGATGCCCTGTCTTTTCCAGGGGGTTCATGGGAAACCCTCCTTAACCACCAAATCACCGATCCAAACCACCAACTAGAGGGAAGTGGAAATCAGTTGGAGGCATACCAGTGTTGACGCTCTGTTTTTGGCCTACCCCGGAATTAGCTCTCAGCCTGTGGCAAAGGAAACCACCGACTAAAACTTGCGTAACCGTAGCTCTTTACTTTCTTGAGCCACACCCAGTTCAAGCCAAACACATCAAAACTATCGGCAATTATATACGCCAGGACTCAGACTGTCCCCTTTCTGCGCTACGTTTACAAGCAACACAACAGGGGCCACCATTGGAGGTTCAAGATGCTTGGAGGATCCCGGGACTACCCCCCCGGAGTTCGTGTTGTTTCGGCTCCTTTTCTGCAGAGTGGGTCCCTGCCAATGTTTTCTTCCGCTTCAAGCAGATTTAGGCATGCTGGAAGATTCCACCAATTTCTCACTGGCAATTACCTTTAGTTTCCGATCTTACCTTAGGTTATCGCACAACAGTATGACTCAGAAAATCATGTTGATCAGTTGCAGGAGTTTTTTCAGCAAAGATATGCAAGATCATATTGCTTGTCTCGAAAAGTCTTGAAGCTTTGCACATTTCCTCGTCAACCTAGAAACACCGACTCTCAGTGGTGCCGTACCACCTGAAAGCATTGGCGCCTTGTGAAACTTGCATATCAAGTGCGAGTGGTTTGGGCCCGTTGCCCCACCCAGTTTTTTCCCATTCTGAACTTGCTTTTGGACCGAGAGCGTCTTGTTTGGCAGGAGCTAGATGAGCTGCCCTACTGCGGCTTGCCCGGGGTCCCGGATCTGCTTATGACACGGCCATGTTTTGCTTGAGGGTACTCTTTTCAGCAGCCACTCATTTGGGGTCCCCCTATTTCGACACATACCCGCATGCGGACTCCCTTGCTTTGCTGGTGAGTGAGGGATATTCCAAGGCTGGTGTTCGAAGGAAAACCACGAGAAAAACCAGTAGCAGTTAGGGTTCCGGAATTGAGGTCACTCCTATCGGTTCTTTAGTGGGAACACCGGGCCTGGCCTATTGATCCTTCGGATGTCTCCGCCAAATGGCCAAAGGGAACGCATCACCCGTCAGTTTGCGAGGTTCTTTGTTGAGACCTGGCCTCAAAGGGGCGTCCCACTCTCTTTTGAGGCGTGATACTGTGGATGGAAAAAAACCTGCACCACTTTGAAAGCATGGGAAACCATTGTTTGCTGGTATTTACCAGGGGAACCATTATTGCAGGGTTTCCTTGGTATTGTTAGTGGAGCCTAACGGAAACCACATGGTGAAGCTCTCATTTCCGACTTCAGACACGCGAAACTGAGACACCCTGCTACTCCACAGGCATCGTTGTCGGGCTCCGCCTGGTTTGGGAGCCTACTGGTTATATAGAACTGCAAGCATGCCGTCTTTGCTCCGGCGATCATCCGGAAATCATGTTGAGGGTTTCCTTTGGCTGCGGGGGGGGCAGAGGGTGTTCTGGCGGCAAGCACCACAGACAGGGAAAAGAAGGCTCTCCTGGGAATGAGGATCAATCAGCACCTTTGTCGCTTTGTGAATGTTTCTTGATCTTCTTCCCCCAAGTGCGCGCTTCAGCTTTCTTTGGGTTCCTGGTTGGTTGTTTGGAGCAACTTGAGGTTTGCGTCCAAAGCGGCAAATTGGGTCATCTCCCAAAAGGTTCGGTCGCCGCTCCAACCGGGCGAGGTGCAACACCACAGTGCAGGCACGCAGCAAACACTGCCTGGCCCTCACCCGCGGAGTGTTTCGACAATTGAAACCTGAGGATTTAAGTTTTCGAGGGGGCAGTCCCAGCTGTTTGGAACGGCCCCCCATAAGCTTTTTAGTTCTTGAAGATCATCCTGGTTAGACCGCGTAATTTGTTCCAAGCTTTTATTCTGACTCAAATTGGGATTTCAGCAAACTGGCGGCCCTTTGTGAGGACTTCCATTCAAGAACACCAGATCTCCTTTTGGGTGAAAGGCCATCATAAGGAACAAGCTGCTTGACTGACCTCCTCAGCATCCCTGGCATGTTAGCGAATCCCTGCTTCACCAAAGGCTCTGGTTTGTGCTAGGCTTTTGATACTAGGCGTTTCCGCTTGAAGTAGAAATCAACCATCGCGTGCAGTTGTTAGTTTTCGTTTTTCTATAAAAGACAAAAACAATCCGCTTCCTTTTGACTGATGAGTTGCCAGCTCGGGGGAGGGGGGGCTGGGGCTTTGTTTGGGTCATGATGCTTGCGACTCGCATGCAGCTGCAACCACCCTCAAAAGGAAGTCACCTAAAGCGAGCTGCGATGGCTGACGCCCGCTTGGGCAGCGGCATCAGGAGAAATGGAAGCAAC